GTTGCCCAGGAGATTGACGACATGCCCACCTTCCCAGATGATGATCGTGCTGAAGGACACGGTGCTCAGGGCTCGCCTGAACCCAAGTACCCGCGCACCGAGGTCGGCAAGGGTTCCTCAGGCAGCGGCAAGGGTGTCGCCAGCCTGGCCTCCCGCGCCGCCGCCGCTGGTGCCGCGCTCGTCTTCGGGCGCTCGGATCAGCTCACTCATTCTCCTGATCAGCCTGCTGTCAGTGCTCCTGTGCCTGCTGGTGGCTCCCTCTCTGGCTCTGACCACGCTCGTGCACCCGCTGGGCATGCTGCTCACGACTAACCCGACGAGTATATCAAAGCGGTCATCGCCGATGGCGTTGCCTCCCAGTTCAGCGAGCTCCGCTCGGAGCTCGAAGGTCTCGTCGCCTCGACTGTGGGTGACACTGTCAAATCCAGCAACGCCTCCATCTTGCGTACCCTGGCTGTGCTGCAGAAGCAATTGGAAGATCAACCTGCAGAGCTCGACCAGAAGGCGATGGCTACCTTTTCGTCCGCAGCTTGACGAGCTCTCAAGGAAGATGCAACGACAAATTGATGACGTCACAGGAAAGGTCGCCACTCTCAGCATCGAGCTTGACTCACACACAGAGCAGCTTCGCCAATTACGAGCAGAGATGGCCGAGCTGCGTGAAGGACTTCATGTGGCCAAGCGACAGGAAGCGGCCCCCTCGCCTCCCGCCAACTTCGACCGCCAGACCGACCCTGCGGTGGTGGTTGCGATGTGTACCAAAATGGTTGGTCTGTCACAAGTACGCGATGTTCTGGCTCCGTTCCTATCTGAGCTTGGATTCGAAGCAGACCAATACACCCTTTCTTGCCCGTCTCCGACTCCTGCCCGCAGGTTTCTCATCAAGTTCAACGGGGCCACCGGCCTCGCCTCTAAGAAGGTTTCGAAGGTGCTCAGCAATCTCCGCCGCAACGATCAGTGGAGGGTGTTCAACGTCGTTGCCTCGGGTGCCGCCGCCGACGGGCGCCTCCACTTGGGGCCCGACAAATCTCCTCGCCAGGTTAAGACGGAAATGGCTCTACGTCGGATCCGTGGTGCATGCGCTGACAAGTTCGGGGGACGGTGGTCGGTTGACCGCGAGCGTGGCATACTCAAGAACGGATGGACCAACGTGCTCAAGATCCAGGCGAACCCCGATGACGCTCCTTTCACCGTGCAGTTCAACCAAGAGGGCATCCTGGACCTCAATCTCACACGTGCAGACATCCAAGCAGTGGTGGATGAAACCACCGCCCCCCCACCTCCTACGACATGGTGTCTTTGACGGCTTCATGCAGCTCTTTCACACTCCGACCCGTGGGAATGAGAATGAATCGATGCGATTCATCACTTGGAATGCTCGAGCTCTGTTACAGTACCGAGGAGCGAAGAGTAGACTCAAGGCTTCATATTTGAAGAGATTTCACCTTCCTGGGCCCATTCTTGCCCTACAGGAAGTACATCAAGATCGTCTGCAGCTCGAAGACTATCCCTGTCGTCTTCATCGGGATGCTGTGGTCCATGCTTCGTTTTGCCCTGCCGACGCTGGGGGTTCGTCGGCAGGAGGGGTCGCCACTATCTTACCGAAGCTCGCGTCTGAGCTTGATGTTACCAGCAATGCTTCGGCTATCGTGGAAGGAAGGGTCCTTCGAGTCGACATAGTCGGGCAGGGGTTTCAGCTGGTGCACTTCAATATCCACAATCATGGTCTCAATGCAGTGCAGATCGACGAGATATGTGCGGAGATCGACGCTTCGCGGGTACGGGCGGCCGCTGACCCTCTTCACTTCTTGGCGATCGTGCAGGGCGACCTCAACTTCGGCCCTGATGAAGCGTTGCTCCTCCAGCGGCCTGAACCAGCTCGGGCTACTGATCCTCGGAATCATCGTGCAATGGCTGCTCGGTGGCTGAGGGCCTTGGGATTTTTTCTCGAGGTTTCTTCGGAGGCGCCGACACACTACACTAAGGACACCAACTCGGTCAGCTGCCTTGATCGGTTCTTCTGCACGGTGCCAGGATGGATGATGTGCCAAATGTGTGCGGAGTCCTCCACCATCGGAGAGCCTGAAGAATTATCTCGTTCTCTGATATCGGACCACGCTGCGCTGCCCACGGTTCTTCGCCAACGACGCGCACGCCCCAGGTCTGAGCAGCCAGTGCCTCGCCATATCTTCGAGAGCCCTCTCTTTCGGCTACGTATTGAAGGCATGTTCAAAGACGGGGCTGGCGCTGAGATGATGTTCTCGGCGGCAATCTACCAAGAACACTTCAAGGATATGTTGAAAGAAGCCGCCCGTGAAGTTCGTGACTGGATGTTTGTCCACCATCCTGCTGGCGACGAAACCGCGTTGCTCGTCGCCCGTGGATGTGCGCGAGCAGTATGGCGGCAAGATCTTCTTCTTGCCCGTCGACTGGTGGCGACCTCGGCTACAGCAGCGGACATGCTCGACATCGGAGGCTCACAAGTCGCCCTTCGACATCCTGAATCATTTCACATGTGGACGGATGGGGTCCACATGAGGCTCTTGGAAAAAGAGATCTGTGCTGCTGCTGACGCTGCTGCAAGCTCTCGATCGACCCGTCCGCCCTCTTCCTTTCGTCGTCGTCAGTTGTTGGAACGCCAAGCTGCGATATGGGCCCCGTTCTCACGGAGGTTGCTTCTGCGTGCTGTTCGTGGCGGCAATCGGCTCGCTGCATCTTCTGAGGAAAGGGTTGCTGCCCTCACGGAATATTGGCGTCCTGTCTTCTCTCGCTCGGAAGTCGATCTCGGAGCCGCTCAGACTTATATCGAACAGCAGTGTCCCTCTCCTGTGCTCCCTGATGTTCCCCCACCCTCAAAAGCGACGCTCCGTAATATTGTCTCTCGTGCTCGCCACTCTGCCCCTGGGATTGACGGATTGCCGTGTGCCGCATGGGCCGCGGCCGATTGCTGCCTGGAAGTATTATGTCTAATGATGGACTGGATCTTGCGGGGCCAATCGCTCTTCGACTCGGCCAGCGTCACTCTGCAAGCGTACCTGCCTAAGGGATCGGAACGCGAAGACCTGGCCTCTGGGGGCTGTATTCGCACTGCTGACAAGATCAGGGTCCTTGGCCTCCGCAACACCGGCCTGAAAATACTGACGTCTGCCGTGAACCGATCACTTAAAGGTGTTGTCGACTCCCTCGTTCCCCTGTCGCAGCGCGGCTTTGTTCAGGGCCGAAACTTTGGGTACAACATCCTGGAGCTTGACGGCGTCAGTCGTATTGCAGGGGCCCATCCGCTGGCCCCTTCTAGGATGCCTCTGTTGGTCTCGTTCGATTTCGGCCAGGCCTTTCCGAGCCTCTCTCAGGAGTTCATGATGCTTTTCCTCACTCATCTTCGCTTGCCACTCCCAGTGATTCACTTTCTCACCTGGTTGTACTCTGCGATAGAAGGGGTTGTGGCCTTTGGTGGCCTGCTCCACTCTGTGTATTGGCTGAGGTCGGGGATCATACAAGGCTGTGGCCTTTCTGGGACCTTGTACGCGTTGTGCACGGCCCCGTTCCTGAGCGACCTGGAATGCTCTCTGGAGGACTCTGGACTTGGCCTGGCTAGGGCCTGCGCGGACGATATAGGGGCTGTCTTGTTCGAAGCTCGCGGGCTCCAAGTGCTACATCGTGTTATGACTTCTACGCAGCATATGCAAGGTCACCCCATTACATGAGACATTTAGCCCTGAACTTCGAGATAGGACACGTGCTCTCCTCGGTCGGCCTGTTCCCGAATGGCGCACTTTCGAGGTCGTGGCCCACCTGGTGTACCTTGGCGTTCTCTTGGGACCCGACGTCACGATCCAGATGCAGCGGGACGCTGCTCGGCCGAAACTAAAGTTACGGGCCAGGCTCCTTGGTTCTGGCTCCGCTCCCCTGGGGATCAACGGCGTACTCTACCGATCAAGAGCTCTCCCCGTCTTGTCTTACCTGGCTCAGTTCTTTCCCCTGCCTCCCAGGATGGTCGCGTTCGAGCTCTCTGTGCTGACTCAAGTATTCCGTGCTCCCATGGGTACTCTGTCTGCTCCTGGCTGGGCCCAGCTCTATGCGTGGGGCGGCCCCAAGATCCCACTCATGCAACATACATGCGCCGCTGCGTTGACCCGAGCCGCCACCATCACGTTCAGCGAACATGCCCACATACGCTCTAACATTACTAACACTACTCGTTCATGGAATGATGATCTGCTGCTGGGAAGATTCGATGATGCTTTTCTCGCGACCAGTCGCACACGGCAGGATTGGATGTGTGACGTTGGGCGGCACTGGCGGCTACCGCCCATTTTGCAGACCTACGCCTGGATTCGGCAAGGCTCTACGTGTGCTGGCTACCCTTCGGACATCCTTCGCTGCTGTACCTCTGCTATTGCGTTGGAAATGTCGGTCACGGAACGAGCCCGCAAATTTCAGAGGGCGGCCACCACAGCACTACACGAGCAGTTCGTCACTCCGTTCCCGTTGTGCGTTACCTTCGAGACCAGGCTGGCTCGCTACTTTACCATGTATGAACCCTTCTTACATCAGGTGCCTTGGGAGGCGATTCAGATGTTGATGCGGCTGCTGCCCACGAGCTGGGTATTTCCTGTTATTAAGACATGGGCCTCCGCTTGGCTCACGAGTTATCGGATAAGTTACTCTTATGGGAAACGGCGGTGTATCTTTGGGTGTCATATTGGTGCTGACAGGCAGTGCCACTACATGCGATGCCAGCGCCTGATACGGGCTGTCGGCCGTGCTCTGGGTCGCTCACTCCCTACTTTTCTCCATGAGCGTCTGTGTCTGACGGCACCGTGTGTGGAACGGGTGGAGGAGATGGTGGTTATGTATACTACGTATCACACTGTGCGTTATCGTGGGGGAGTCACCACTACTGCTCTGAGCGCTGCGACTCGGGCTGCGGTCAGAACTCTTCGAATGGCGTCTCCAACAGACCAGCTGGATAAGAAATGGAAACCGCCGCCGCTCATCATACCGACGCTGCGCACGGTCACCGATAGTTCCTCCACTTCCTCGGCTGACGACCCCGACCCCGCCCTTGTCGCTCGGGATGCCGCAATCGAGGATAGCCTGGCCCCTGGCCGCTCCCCATGTCTGACTCCACGGCTTGTACCTACGACACCAAGCCCCGGCACCCCATCGACGCTGATCGCCACACCCGAACGTGTCGAGCATTGTGAAGACAGTGATGTCAATGTTACTGGCAGAACGCAAAGTCCTGGGCACGGGTGCTCATCGAGCCCGTTGCTGCAGGGTCAGTCGTCGCCATTGGAGCTGGAGGTCACTGGCAGAACGCAAAGTCCCATGCAGCAGGCCCAGTCGTTGCATATGCCGCTGGAAGCTTCTGGCAGAACGCTAAGTCCTAGGCACGGGTGCTCCTCGAGCCCGTGGCTACAGGCTCAGACGTCGCCAACGTTGCTGGATGATGGGGGGAATCCTGGCCGCTGCGCTACGAGAATGAACAGTGAGTGTGGCGCCGAAAATAATCTGCCGCCCGTCAGCACGCTTTGCCCCCATATCCCTAGCGTGCCCGTCCGCCTTTCGTGTCGCTCCATGGTTGTCCTCTCGACCCGCCCTCTCGCTCCTGAGGAGGCTCCTCCTGCTGCTCCCTCCCTCCATCGCCCTTGTGCGCCGCTCTCCGCGGCTGTGATTGAAACGCGGCTCGCCGCCCACATGCACGTGACGTTCGACCGAGGCAGGCGCCCCCCGCCCGCCTCGCCGCCTGCTGCCGCCGCCCGTGCTTCTCTGTCCTCCGCTCTGGTCACTGGTGTAGCCAGTTACTCGAGTGTGGAGAAGTGTGCTCAGCTGTTGAGCTGAGCACAGTGGCCGGTCGGAGGCACCTCACCCCTACGCTGCGCTCCTCCTCCTCCTCCTCCTCCTCCTCCTCCTCCTCTTTCTTGCGCAGGCTCCAAGGCGATCTCTCCTCCTCCTCATGCTCCTCCACCTCCTCCTCCTCCTTTGCCTTCCACCCCAAACATGCCCGCGTGTTTGAACCTCGAGATGGACCTCTCCGGCACTTCAAGCTGAAGGACCTGCGCGCCAGCTTCCTGACCGCTTCTAACACGGCGGGCATCTCCAGCCTTGGGCCAGTCCCTCATGTGGGGCGCCACTCCGGTGCCAGTTTGGGCAGGCTGACCACCCGGCTCGACCTCGCCGAGGTTCAGCGTCAGGGGAGGCGAAAATCATCCGCCCCCGTGAGTAGGCGCGA